TTATTCTACGTAGATGAAAGTAAGAGCTTCTAGCAACACTATTAATCTGAGAAGAGAGAGACATGCTAGAATCAAAGATGAAGTAATTGTAACGTAAGCCTAGAATACGAAACTTGTGAGAAACATCAAAAGTTTTAGAATCAGGTACGATAATAGGAGGAATAGTAATAGAGTGTTTAGATTTATTAAAACAAATTAATTCAAACTTAGAAGGATTAAGTTTAAGACACATAGAGTCAGACCAAGCGATAATTGAAGAAAGACATAGAGATAGATTACGAAAAATACTATTGAGATAAGATGGAGAAAAAGAAGTATAAATATAAGAATCATCAGCATATAGTTGACTAGTGAAAAGAAAAATTCATAATACAAGGTAGTTCAGAAGTATAGAGTATCAATTGAGCAATAAAGCCAAAATCACGAAACAAATAAACCAATAAAAAAAAAACAAAGTAAAAAAATTTCGGAAAAAATTAGGAAAAAAACATTTTACCTTTAAAGTTTTCAAATTCGATTATAAAAACAGTGTTCTCATTATCTGACGGAACGACGGACGATGTTTGACCCCCTCCGGAAATTCCAACATCCTCAAAATGTAACATTACGTAATCAACCTCGATGGGATTTGAGAAATTCGCTTGCACGGATTTAGTTACTGGAACTTTCTGCACGGATATCATTTTACCGCAAAACGGCTTCGTACATAATTCCAGTAAAATATTTTTGTAATCTGAAAAATTATTTCAGATCTTCAAAGAACAATACTTGACAAATTAATTTTCAAATAGGGACTGAAAAAACTCCACATGTGGCTTAAGAGTTAAATGATAAGTAAATAAACCTGGACGACTTTGAAACTGCACCAAAACTTTATCAGGCTTGGGAAAGAAAGTGAAATAATTAACGACACAATTTGATATCTTTTCAAGGTAGAACATCAATTTCTCAACATCTTCAAGACATTTTGGCGTCAGGTATGTAAACAGTAATTTGAGGTCGTCAATATTATTGTCAGTGATGACGGGCGGAGGTTTGGAGGGCTGCAGAACTTCTAGAAACAATTTCCTACTGGTGAAAGTTATCGTTGGATTTGTCTCTATGATTTTCTTTGCAACTGCCAATAAACAATCACAACAAACGCCGTTAGTTAGTCACATATCTAAGAATCACAAGTTATGAAACAATTTTGTATGTTTTTGGCAAAATAAATAAAAGTATTCCAATTATACAAAACATTCAAGACAAGTGACTGAATAAACTGTGTAGAGATGAAACCAGGAGTATTCGTTAAAATCTTTCACCCAAGTATTAAAAAGTTGTACTACTAAAAAAACTACTCACAAATCCGTTTATAAAAGTCACATTAATGATACTGCGACATTTTAATTTTGTTTTTAATAAATTAGCCTAAAAAAATTTCCTATACGTAGCAGAATAAAAAAATTTAACAACTTATAAACCAAAAAAAGACACCTTGAGAACTGTTGAAGACGACAACAAAAGTTTTTTCATCTTCAGGAATCAGTTCGTTTATGGCTGCTGGTGATCCTCCATATCTTTTGTTTTCCAGGATCCTCTTCAAATCATCCACTCCCAATCCGGCTTCACTAACGTTCACTTTTATGGCATGAGATCCGTCAGATATCGGCCAGGATTCCAAGAGGATTCCTTGAAATGTTTTGCCAGAGAGTACGTGCCTTTCTTTTGCAAACTTTTCGGCCGCTGGTAGTAAAGAAAATTTGAAATAAGAATGAAAAACGAAACGTAATTGAGTGGCCAGATGGTGTAATAGTCAAAGAGCCTGGCACTGCGGTTCTTTCGTTGATACGAGGACCAGGTTTGAACGCAGGAAGATACACGCTCATTACGTGCGATGGGCGTGTGTGTGATGCGTGCATCCACGGGCATATAAAGTCAGTTACATTTTTCAAACTGTTGATTAACTCGAACTAAACATACACGCAACCAAAAATTTCTGAAATAAAAGTAAAAAACGGCTGAAAAAAAACCTTTTGTTGACTTGAAGACAATGAAGCCTTCGCCTCCAGTCACCGTGACACATTCCACAACCGATTTCGTCCAATTCTCAGCGTAACACTTCAGGACATCATCAGCTAACCCGACTATATTTCCAACTAATTCAACAGTACGGGCTTCAACTGCTGCCACTGAATTACGTTTCTGTGCTCTGCTGTTCGATTTTTTGGAGTGGTTGTCATTTTTTTGAAGTTTTGATTCGTTTAATTCGTCGTCGTTGTCGTCATCATCATCTTCATCATCATCTTCTCTTTTATACAAGCTAACTAAAACGTCTTTATCATCGTAGCTAAATTTTTTCTTTCCTAGTAAATTTCTGGCTTCTTAAATTTGAAAAAAAAATTATAAATCAATTTACAGATACTAAAATCGAAAAAGATATATGGAAAAATAATTGTAGTTATCAAAAAAACTAAATAAAAAAAAACTTTTTTTATCCAAGATAGAAACGATGACATATTTTTCCTTGGAATTAATTTTTTCCACTTTGACAGAATTCAATTTTAAATCCAACTCGTTCTCCAGTGAAATTTCTAAAAATAACTTGTCTGAATCTCTGCTGGTTATATTGTCCAACTTTAGAAACGTTTTTGTGTCTGGGGCTTTTCCCATGTTAATTTCATCAGAATTATCCAAGTCCACATTTTCTAACAAAAATTTTTATTGTATAAAATATTGTGTGTGTGTGTGAGTGTGTGTGTGAGTGTGTGTGTGTGCGTGCGTGTGTGTGTGTGAGGTTTATTTTACTTGTGAATGTTTTATCCAGAAAACAAGATAAAAAACAATGTAGTTACTTTATCATCATCATCACAATCATCATCAAATTTAGTCATATTCTAAAAGAGAATTTCTTTTAGAAACACTTTAATCTAAATTACATTTTAAAATTTAAATACACACCGACAAGATATTTAAAATAAAATTTTTAGAAAATAAAGAACCATAGTAACCATGTGAAGTTTTTGAGGTATTCAACGCTACACCACCACTACCATTTTCTTTCATCTTTTTTTGATTCAAAGTAACCAAAGATGACAAATGAGGACTTTCGTTGAATAATTCAACTTTCCAAGTATTTCCCAGTGAGATCCAATAGCCTTTTTCTAATACTTCTTGAATTTCTTCAAAAAAAAATTAAAAAATCTTCAAAATAATTAATAAAATTATTAACTTCATTAAGTGAATAAAGCAATTTATAATTAATCATCTAAATAAATGGCATGAAACAATCAAATATATATCCTTGAAATGGTTTATTCATGTGCTCAAGCAAAAAACTTTTAAACAATCTTATTAGGCCACTTTTTAAAAATAACTTTCTGTTGTGAAATTACCGAATTGAAAATAAAATAAATCAATAAATATTTATGATATGTTAATTCTTTGGTATTATGGATTGCATGTTGACAAGCCTTACCAAAATTTATAAATATATACAACTTTGATGTGAATTCTCAAACAAATTATATTTTAAAACCTATAGTTAGTTAGTAACTTGAATGAAAATGATAAGTCTGGGCTAAAATTATTTCCTTAATTACTAATAAGTAGCTTGTAAGGACCCAACATTTCAACGATGACATCAAGAAAACTTTCTGGAATTTAGCATGTGCAAGCAGAGTAGAGAGATAGTATTTATTAGCATGTTTTTTAGCAATATGCATAATTTAATTTAATTAGCTAGAAACTAATATAGTTTGCTAATTAATCAAGAATACCTAACTAATGGTTTATAAATAAACTGAATAATTAAAATAAACTTTATTTTAATCATTATTGACCCAAATTTTAATATGAAAAACCTTCTGAATTTTCAACAGTGCAGATTAGGACTTTGTCATCTTTATAATAATCATAAGATTGAGCCAGTAATTCAAAAATTGCTGATTTAACGTCAGCTTCATCCACGTCAGAAACCTTTATTTTTATCTCATTATTAAGTTTCTCATCACCACTCATCTTTTAACCAAGTTTCTCTTTTGTTATTTTGATATATAATTAAATATCAGATAATGTTAAATCATATTAGATAATGATTAGTTGTTGTGGCAACGATTCGAAAATAAAGTTAATATGGTGGGGATGAATAAGTCTTTTAAAAAAGTTTAAATTTTAAAAGTTTTTGAAGAAAGATTAGTCATCTGAAAGAACGACGAAATTCCTATTTTTATAAATCCGACAATAACGATAATAAAAATTAGATGCAATTTTATGAAACAAATATTAATTTTTTCAATAATTTATTAATTTCATCATCATTTAGACGCTGTTTTCTCGAAAATTAATTAAGTTTCGCTTTTCGGAGAACGGAAAACTAAAAAATCTGGAAATCCCCAAATTTGGTTGGCGTATAACCAAAGACACTTAAGATAACACCCAAAGTATGGGTATATCGTATAATATATATACGGCTCATATAAGTTACTATTTGGTTTTTTTCCAGTTATATATATGTATATATATATTCTATAAATTCTACCAAATGTTTGGCGTTAATATGTTTGTAGTTCGTTTTTTCAATTTTTCTCACTAAAGTTTTTTGACATTTCCCTTATAAACAGCAGAAAGCACTGATGATGATTCATTCGGAATCGAAATATGGCCTTATTTGCAGCATGAATTCGGAAGTTTATTTTGAATTTTAATAAACTAAACGTTCACCAAAAAACTTTAGTGAGAAAAATTGAAAAAACGAACTACAAACATATTAACGCCAAACATTCGGTAGAATTTATAGAATATTGTAAAAATTATGGTCTATTACCAACATAAATATATATATATATATATATATAGAGAGAGAGAGAGAGAGAGAGAGTTAGAGGCAATATAACCATCTTATAATGTATATATTTAAATATATATATATACATATATGTATATATATTTATATATAACTTACTAACTTACTTCTGATGTTTAACCGCAGAAAAACAAAAATTTATTAATTTATCAAAAATTTTTATCCAGTAATTGATTTTATTCGAAAAATGATTCTTAAATGATAGAAATAGTTTCTGAGATATTCTTCTACTGCGAATTATTATGTAGTATTGAAACATTATACTGAAAGTGAAAAAGGAAATCTGGGGAAATTTATGACATCAGAAATTCCAAAAATTCCGAGCAATTACATAGCGTTTAATAAACATAATACCTGCCATTTTGATCAGTAGTACAGTACCATATACTTAGAGTATTCCATATGCAGTACTACTACTTCAGGTAGTAGTAGCAGTAGTATTATGTAGTAGTAGTAGCGGTAGTAGTAGCCGTAGTAGTAGTGGCAGTTGTTTTGTTAGTTATTTATAAACATTGTGAGAAGTGAGATAGTGTGTAATTAATGTTAATTAATGTTTTAGTTAAGCGATTAAGAAATTATATTTATACACACACACACACACACACACACACACACACACACACACACACACACACACTACATACACATTGCACATGTATTGCACTGTTGACGAAATTTTTCAATAATTTATGTACTTAAGTAATTTAGTATCACTATTTATATGTCCAACATGATAGCGTAATGATTAAGACGCCTTGCCCTGTTCTCAGAGTGACATCCAATGTATCTGATAGCTGGATACTGGATACAATTACGGTATCATTATACATATCTTTATATATGGATGGATACAATTACGGTATCACTGATCGGTATTTCGACGTATACACATACAAAACCATGCGATACAAATTTTGTATGCAACAAAAGTTTGTATGATTACCAATATATGGTATGTATTTAATACAAATCCGCATACACAGCTCTACACATTTAGTTCGCATATACAACAATACAATCGCATATAAAACAATACAATCGCATATACAATACAATATAAAAATATCAAATCGATTCATCGTCGTCGTCATCGTTACAAATTCTTCATCCATAATATTATAAATATGTGTGTATACACATAAACACCGTTTTTGGGTGTTTGTGTTTGTGTGTGCGTGCGTGCGTGTGTGTTTATGTGGTGTGTGTGCGTGTGTGTATATACAAGTTTGTTACAATTAAAAATAAAATAAGTTTCTCAAAAAAGACATGCTGCTTACCAAAAATCCAAAAAAATATGTTCATATATATAAAAATATTCATGACAAAATGCGTCTACGAATCACAATAATAATAATAATATAATAATAATAATAATAATTATTATTATTATTATTAAATAATAGCAATAAAAATAAAGCAATCAGAATGAAATGAAGTCCTTGTTACAGATTTTTAAATAACGATCGATCGAAATGTAGTAATAGTCTTGGTCGGCTTTTACGATCATGGAAACACAACTTAATCAATTAAATATTCACCAATCAAATAGTTATATATAAATGTGTTTATGTGTGCGTGTGTTTATATGTGCGTGTGTTTATGTGTGCGTGTGTTTATGTGTGCGTGCGCGCGCGCGTGTGTGTGTGATATCTAAATATCTAATAGTGCATTAATTAAAGGCAGCTGTATTCGTAAAAAGGTTTATTTCTAGTAGATAAGGTGCCGAATTTTTTTTGCAGCTCTTGAATATCTAGAGTCTTTTTGGCGGCTTCTGCATCGATGTTGTTGTTGTTGTTGCTGATGTTATTGTTGTTGCTGATGTTATTGTTGTTGCTGATGTTATTGTTGTTGCTGATGTTATTGTTGTTGCCGCTGTTAGAGCTGGAGCTACTACATCTTTTGATTTGTTGTTGCTGATACTGAGATTGAGGTTGTTGTTGTTGACTTTGTTGTTGCAGTTGATGATATCTCCTAACCACCCCACCACCACCACCACCACCACCAGCGGCGGCGGCAGCAGCAACAGCTCCATCATCGTAGCCAGCGTTAAGTGAGGGGGACCTGAAAACGGAAGCAGTTGCTGGCCTGACTAGGCAAACTTTCGGCCCACCTACACCAACCTCTTCCGAAGTTTTCAAGTTTCTCGGGCCTTCTCCTGTTTCATTTTCTGATATTTTAAAACTTCTGAGTCCTCTACCGCCTTCATAGAAGGGCCTGCTAGCGGATCTTTTGTCTTGCGCAACTCCAGCCGATTGTGGCCTCATATAAAGTTTCGCTTGGCTGTGCGATTGAGGTTTTGGGATGGATTTTTCAGGATTCGAATCCTGGTTAAATAAAAAGAGAAGCAAATTAAATTGATCAATCAGTGCAACAGAGAACATACGAAAACAACAAAATCACTTACTTCATCGTTATTATTATTACTGATATTCTGTGATGGGGGTCCATTGAAGACACATCTCTGGTAGGAATCGATCAAATTCTTAACGGCCCCAAGACTGGCCTGTTGTTTGTTAGTCGCACCTTCGACATTGCCGCTCTGATCAAATGATGATTTGAGGCTTCTTTTAAATCTCGCCGGCTCTGTAGCTGTTTGAATGGGTGGTGGTGACGACGATGATGGGGATGTCGTTGGTCTTTTGTCTTGTTGCTGCTGT